TAATAAATTAAGTAGATTATTAACAAAGAATATACATTCCAACAATATTCTAATGGCTGTTAAAAATACCAAAATGCCAACTACATGGCCAGAAAAATAACACTTTTTTTTTTTAGTTATTATAGTAATTCAGAAAGTTAAAAAAAAAAAAAGAGGTATATGCCTGGGAATCTGGAAAGGAAATAGAATTACTGTCACATAAGAGGCCAAGAAAGAGGAAGGTGAGGATGGTTAGGGACCAATAAGCCAAAAAAGCAGAACTACCTTCAGCAGACTGGGCTCTAGTCTTTAGAAGACAGGAGCAGAAATAAGTGAATAGTTTTTAAATAACCTTGAGAACTGGGTTTATACATGTAGTAACATTTAAAATTCTTAAAACACATCAATCTGTCATTCCATTACTTGTGACAAATGCATAACTGAAGCAATAAACATATAGTAAGGAGATATAGCTGTCCCTTAGCATTCATAGGAAATTGATTACAGGGAATATACACAGATGGATGGGGGAGAGTGTACCAAACTTTGTAGATGCTCAAGTTGTTTGTATAAAATAGAACAATACTTACATATAACCTACACACATTTTTTGTACACTTTAAATCATCTCTAGATTTCATGATATTAATACAATATAAATGCTAAGTAAACATATGTTGTAGTATAGTGTTTAGAAAACACAGACAAGAAAAAAAATCTGTGTATGTTCACTATAAATTCTGCCAATATTTTCAATCTGCAGTTGGTTGAATCCATGTATGTATAACCCACAGATACATAGTATCAAACTGGATAGAAATAGCAAATAAGCATACAAAAAGATGCTCAATATCATTTTCCATCAGGAAATTCCAAGTTAGAACACTGAGATTATACTACACACCTATTAAAATGTTGTTAATGTCCAAAAATACAAAGGCTAATGAAAATATGGAGCAACATAAACACTCTTCATTGCTAATGGGAATAAGAATTTGCACAGCTACTTTGGAAGACAATTTAACGGTTGCTTACATAAATAGATATACTCTTACCATAAAATACAGCAATTGAGCTACTTGGATATTTACCCAAATGTGATGAAAAACTTAGGTCAACAACAAAAACTTGCACAGAAATCTTTTAAAAAGCTTCATTGGGGGCTGGGGACGTGGCTCAAGCGGTAGTGTGCTCGCCTGGCATGCTTGCGGCCTGGGTTCGATCCTCAGCACCACATACAAAACAAAAATGTTGTATCCGCTGATAACTAAAAGAAATAAATATTAAAATCCTCTCTCTCTCTCTCTCTCCCTCTCTCACTCTCTCTTAAAAAAAAAAAAGCTTCATTGATGATTAAGAACATTTGGAAGTAACTTATATGATCTTCAAGAGGTAAACAGATAAATAAACTACGATATATCCAAATAATGAAATATTACTCAACACTAAAAAAATGGGCTATCATTCCATGAAAAGTTATACAGGTACATTAAATGCATATTGCTAAGCAATAAAAGTCAA